TTAGTGTGTGTGTGTGTGTGTGTGTGTGTGTGTGTGTGTGTGTGTAAAAGAAAAAAAACACCCAAAACAAACCAAAAAGTCCCCAGCCAAACAAACTTCCACACGTCACAAAAAGAAGACAATGGCTTTGGCTACGGATAAATTGCTGGATTTAAGGAAAAAACTTGCTCCATAACGTCTCTTGTCAGGGATTCATAAGTGCAGCTGCCTCAGAATGGATATCTTCCTCCACTGAAGAGGGGAAGATTTCCTTTCAAATCTGCTACAAAGCTGGAAGTGTTGATTAATGAATCTGCTCATGCTGAACTGTAATTCCATCCTGCAGTAAAAGTTTTATATGCGTTAGCCCAGGTGAGAATTCATTTGTCCATATCCAAAACAGACATTTTTTTCTTCTCTCTCTCGAGGGGTTTTGGGTGTCAAAATGCATGTATGCCACTGTTTGTTTTTTTAAGACAGCTGATCCATTTATGTAAGAAGGAGCATGGTCTAGTTGCTAGAACCCAAAATTCATGTTTCCCCATCCTTTTCTCAGATCTGTCACTGACTGCTTGGGCAGGTCACAAACCTGGAGCCTCTGTTTCAATTAAAATAGGCTAAACCTCCCCTGCTCTGGGGAGGTTGAAGCTTTGGTTGCTTTAACGTCAGATGAACTGAAAAGCAGTATAGAAATGCGAAGTCATCTTGTGGGATCTAGAGCATTGAGAGGCTGAGTGTTTTCTGCATGGGCAGCTCGTGCTGCAGCTCTAAAGGTGGTGGTTCTGCCATCTTGGGTTTCCCTAAACATGTTCCTAAATCCGACAGTCTCAGGTGGGAGAGAGAGCTGAGTGGGCTTCCTGTCTGCTGTGGTACTTTGGGAGGAATAGTAGGGGACTCTGGAAATTGGAAAAGCAGCAGGATTGTGGTAACCATATGGCATGCCAAGGGAAAGTTTATAGCCTGGGGAATTGAACATTACTAGCGAGAGTGCTCAGAATTGTCCAGTTTCAGTGCTCTTACATGAATTTAAATTGGTGAAGGCACACAATGCTGTTTAATGCTAGCTTTGAACTATAATTCTGCTGAGTGTCTCATCCTTTTCACGAGTAAAAAAGTAATGTTATTTTAGGTGTAAGTATCTTTATCTGCTTCCACATACAAACGTGGTGACACTGGATACTTGACTGCTCTTAAGCACCATTGTTAACATCCTGTGGTGATTCCTTAAACTGTCAATGCTCCTTCACTTAGTCAAGGAAAGGAGAACTTAGGATATCCCCATCCAATGTCTCAATCCCCCCAGTTTTTGGTTCTTCAAACATTTCATTCTCTGTAAGCTGCAAGTAAGGGACTGTAGAAACTGTGCTGGAGGCTTTATTTAGCCTAATAAAATTGAACAAAGGGCAGAATATAACCATTTCCTTTGCAATTGTTAAGATTACAGTTTGGGACAGTGAAGGGGTTTCCTGCAACATTTTTTCCATCGCTGATACTCTAGGGATCTTCCTTTTCGCTGAATCAGAGTTTAAAATCACACATTTTTAAATGTTTCTCTTCATGGGCCCACTTTAAAAAAATCAGAAGGAAAGGAAGCTGGAGAGAAAAATGAAGGTAATTGAAAATCAGACTTCAAGGACAAAAGCCTTGCATGGCCTCTTGGAAGGAAAGGAAGATGACAAGCCCATGTTATTTTTTTAGTTTTTTATAAACTATAGTTTTGTATTTTGTTATTCATTCTTGTGCTCTTTAAAAATTGGTTGACTCTTTTCTGTTGTAGTGCACTGTCTTCTTCTGTACACCCCAGCAAAGGAAACAATGGCAGCGAAACCAGTGACCAAGTGATGGGTCAAATGAAAGATTACTAAAGGTGCAGACTGAACTGCTTTGGCCATCAATTGGGAACTTTTGTTTACCACCCATGGCAATGATGTCGTTGGACAACTTAGCGAATCTATGCTGGAACGCTGTGCACTGCCGCGCACCTGTCCTGCCTCCACCGCCAATGTTGTTGACTTTCCATCTATTGTAAAGCTTGCCAAGAGAAGAAACTGGAGAGGTCTATTGTGTTGCTTTCTAAAGAGCCATTTGGACAGATGGAGCCTAACCCAGGAGATCTCTTTACTTTGCCAGACCTTAACTGCTGGGAATGCCTGTTCCTTTCCTCGAAATTGCTGCCTACCTGAGGAGAGAGAATGGGGAGGTAGATAACACAATGCACTTCGAGACACTAAATGCTTCCCATTGTTACATGTTTGTATCAAGAGAAGGTTGAGCTTTCCTAAGCAACAAGTGGAAGATGCAACTGAAACCCTAGCCTGTCCTCCTGGTTGCTACATTTTGCATACTCTCTTGCTAGTAAGTGAAAGTGTGGAAAACCATTTAATCTATTCTCAAGCAAAGGGGCTGAAGAACTCTGCATCTCTTGAAATAATCTGACTGCAGGTTTAATCCTTTGAGCCTGTTGATCAAAGGGATTTATCCAAGGTATCCAGTACTCTTTTGCATTGGAGGGCCAGAGTTCGGCTTTGTGCTGGCTCTCTTGCATTGTACTCTTTAAAGAACTGCGGAGTTGCTGGTGGGGGGGTGGAGAGAGCTGCTTTTTTTGTAGTTCTAGTTCATGTAAAATAGAAATATTCATTGTTCCCATGTTTGGTAAACAGTTTCTCCACTGGAAACAGATGGTGAGTTCTCTAATATTCATGTTTAGACTTAGTTTGCCTATCTTCTGCAGTCTTAATTGTCTTTCCCGTCAGGACTGACATGGAATTGTATATCAAGAGCTGGAATGCTCTGAAGCTTGTATCCTCTGTAGATTCTCAGTTCCCCATGTTTTGGATTAGTTTGACTTCACACCAGTACAGAGTATCCCTCCTTCACCTTCAGTCCATCAGGCTCTAAATACTTTATTAAGCTGTCAGTTAATGTTGATTTCCCAAATGAGATACTAATATGGGACAAAGGAACAAAATAATTACTTGCCAACTTAATTATCCTAATTTCTTTGCACCTGTTAGCTTTTGTGACAAAGTTCCTCCTCTATCTTGGTGGGTCCTGCGCTTATTGGCAGATTTTCTTGCCT